ACTTCTGTTCTGTAAAAGACAATTATTAAAAATGTACTGAAACTTTGAGTTAGACATTAGCTACATGCTCTGTATGAGTTATTTCCATTAACTGTGGCAACACCAAGAAATAGAAACTGCTATTTGCCTTGTTATACAGTTGGCACATGGAGTCTTGGAGGAGCGACGCTATTTCTCAAGGTCAGACAAACAGGAATTCAGGTGTGGAACTTGGCGATCACATCCCACTGCTGCTACTACGCCTGTTAGCCATGGCCAGTCTCCTTTTCTCTTCTAAATTATTTAACGATCACATTAAAATAAAGAACTGATCGCATGGCTGGTGTGGCTCAATAGTTGAGTGGTGAACTATGGACCATGCTGGCTTTTGGGGTCCATTCCAGTAGGGGGCGTGCAGGAAGCAGCCAATAGATGATTCTCTCTCACATCAGTGTTCCTCTCTCTCCCTCGCCCTTCCTCTCTAAAAAAATCAAAATAAAAAATCAATAGAAACATACTTACAAAACAAAGAAACAAACATGTTCTGACCCTGAAAGCGATTGAGATGAGCCTAATGAAAAGATTCACATATATTTATTGAAAGTCAATTACCTGAAAGGTACTATGCTTGGTGATTTGGGGACAGAAAGAGTAAGACAGTATCAATCCTTATGGAAATAAGTAAACTTCCTTTTCTTTTTTTCTTTTAAATATATTCTATTGATTTTTTACAGAGAGGAAGGGAGAGAGATAGAGAGTCAGAAACATCGATGAGAGAGAAACATCGATCAGCTGCCTCCTGCACATCTCCTACTGGGGATGTGCCCACAACCTAGGTACATGCCCTTGACCGGAATCGAACCTGGGACCCCCCAGTCCACAGGCCAACGCTCTATCCACTGAGCCAAACCGGTTTCGGCAACTTCCTTTTCTTCTTATTTTTGCTTTCAACCTTCTGGGTTGGCTTTTATCTGAGAAGGAAGGGGTTAACAGCTTGACCCCCACAGGCCTTTCCCGTGGCGCTGGGACTCCCTAGGATCTCACTGTTGGCTGAATGCTCCTTGGAACACTCACTCAGGTTATGGAGGATCCACCTAAGGGCTGGATCCTGGACCCAGGGCCAGACCCACCTGTCCCTGCTGCCTATGAGTGATGTTTAGCTGGTATGGACGGGAGAGACACAGCTGCCCCAGAGCAGGGACACTCATGGTCCTTATGCTGAACTTGACAACACTACTGGTCCTTATGCTGAACTTGACACTAGGGCAGGGGTGGGCAAACTTTTTGACTCGAGGGCCACAATGGGTTCTTAAACTGGACCGGAGGGCCGGAACAAAAGCATGGATGGAGTGTTTGTGTGAACTAATATGAATTCAAAGTAAACATCATTACAAAAAAGGGCCCAGTCTTTTTTTTTTTTTTTTTTAGTTTTATTCATTTCAAACGGGCCGGATCCGGCCTGCGGGCTATAGTTTGCTCACGGCTACGCTAGGAACTAGTGCACCAAAAGGAAAAAATGTCATCCATCTTTATTTGATTAATTAGAATAAAGATTTCACAACAAATAGAACGCTTTCAATGATAGCAGCAATAAGTCACTTCATATTTATTATCCAAATATCACAGACTGATTAAAAACATCTGCCTTTATAACTTTTGAACACGGCTCTCCTTGTTTGCTTTTAAAATGTCCACCGTGACAAAACAAGGTGGAGCAACATGGAAACTGTTTGTTTGCTGGTTTGCCGTGGACGCTCAGGAATGAAGGAAAGCCTTTCTCATTGATCTCCACATCCAGCCCCCAAATTCTGCATGTTAAGTGTGGATTAACTGAGACTTAGGGATCAATCAGAATCTCGGTGGGGAACTCAGGGCACCTTAAATACACAACAGGGGATAATTAGTGAAGGGACCATTCATGAAGATATCAGAGGGGTAAAGGGAGAGCAATCCATGATAATAAAGCATCCCCAGCTAGGACCAGCTAGGACTCCTGGGAGACCAGTTGGCTGAGACCAGCAAACACCCTTCCACGTGGAGAACAGATTCGGGAATCTGGAGAAAGAGCTGAGTTATAGGAAAGGTCCACCGGATAGGACCTATGGCCTTTGGTTGAGGAATATGGCCCTGGAGCCCAGAGTCAGGCAGAGGAAAGCAAGTTCGGAGACTGCTGTCTCCCTTCATCCTCTCCTCTCTTGCTGCTGCCCCTGCCCCTGCCCCTGGACAAACCAAGAGGAAGCCAGAGAGGGTGAGAGAAGAGCCCTAATGAAATTGTGAATAAAGGTTAGCTTAGGACACAAGGCTGAGG